TTGGAACTGAATATGCCTTGGTATCATATAACAGGACCTGAATGTTCCCATTGGCTTTCTCAATGAATGAATTGTCCAATTAATCGAAAGTATGAGTGAGGTCAAGGTCATTAAGTCCATTTCCAGTCAGCTAGTTACTGGGTTATAAATGGACTGTCATTCTGGTCATATGTGGACTCCATAAACCCCTTACCCACACACTGGGTCATTACTTGGGTCTGTCATTTTTCAGTGACCTGGCTGACTGTCACCCTTCCCTTAGGTCATGTATAAAATGCCCTTGGGTAGAAGCATAGTCAGAAGTCACTGTGTTCTGTGACTCTACCTCTGACAAATCGAAGTTGGGTAGGGGAGGCATAATGTGGTTGATGGCCAGGTGCTTAACTTGACACCATAAATGGAAGGGAACAGTTCTTATTTTTTGCTACAACGGCATCTTCTAATTCCTTAATAGGAGAGCAGGACTTCCTATTCATCCACCAAATATTTGTTGACCAGGAGAGGGTTGTTACTCTGCCTTCACTTGATCAAACTCTTGCAGTTACCCTCCCAGTAACATGTTTTTAAGAAATCTGCATGCAGTTTCTTTGGTAGCAACTACCAGGCCAATTTCTCTAAGGGTCTACAGCGTTACTTATTCCTGTTCCTTCTATTCAACCATCTGCCCTTCATGTTCAACATCAAGCCCTGTCCGGTGTAGTGGAATCAATAAGAGTAGGGGCTTTGGAATCAGTTTGTTCACAAATGGGCTCTCTTGTTTATTGGCTGTGTGACCTTGGTAAAATTACTTCATCTTTCTGATTCTTAGTTCATACTACTGTAAAATGGGGTAATGATATCTATCACATAGAGCTATTATGAGAATTAAATAAGATGTTTGTAGAACACTCATCAAAACTTACTGAGTTCTTTTATTTCCAGCATTGAAATACTGTTTTTGTTTATGTGGCCCCAGGACAGATGAAACCTATACTGCTGCAAAAATACATCCCAATTATAACCATTAGTCATGGTAAGTAGACTGGCACTGCTCTGTGCTTGGAGCTCCTTGAGCAGATATGACTTTAAACAAGACCTTCTTTCTTTTATTACCAGATTGTTTCTAAGTCTGTTGAAGTCTAAAGGCCCCAAATATAAAACTAGCTGATGCAACTTGACAGTCAATACAGCAATTTGGATTCAGGTATCAATGCCATGTTCTTAAAAGATTGATGGATTTGTGGGGCTTGGGCAGCTCAGCCTTGCAATGACCTTTTTTTTAATTGTAATCTTTTTTAAAAATTACTGACAAGTAAGAATTTGTATGTATTTGTGGTATACAACATGATGTTGTGACATATATATATGTTGTAGAATTCAGCCCTGGAGTTAATCTTGACAAGAGTTAGAACCCTACTCAGTTGGTCCCATAAAAGTCCACCTCTCTAGGATGGTGACAGGTAGCAAATGTACACTTGGTCCATCTGCTATTGCTGTACAGACCGAGGCTCATTTATCAGAAGTATTCTTCCTTCCCTGGCAGAAAGGAAGGAGTCACTTCCTTGGGGACTGCAGACTTGCAGGACAGCTCATCTCACTCCTTTCTCCCTGCTGGAAAGCACAGAACCTTTACTCCCCAGAGACCCGCTAGTTTCCCTCTCCACTGGATCATGAGAGGTCCATTAAAGCTAGCTGGCTGGGTGCGGTCGCTCATGCCTGTAATCCTAGCACTTTGGGAGGCCGAGGTGGGCAGATCACTTGAGCTCGGGAGTTTGAGACCAGCGTGGCAACATAGTGAAACCCTGACTCTGCTAAAAAAGACCAAAAAATTAGCTGGGTGTGATGGTACATGCCTGTGGTTCCAGCTACTTTTAGGGCTGAGGTAGGAGAATCTCTTGAACCTGGGAGGCAGAGGTTGCAGTGAGCTGAGATGACACCACTGCACTCTAGCCTGAGTGATGGAGTGAGACACCTCTCAAAAAAAAAAAAAAAAAAAAAAAGCAAAAGCTTGCTATATTTCACCCTTATCTTGTGAATTTATGTTCCTTAGATAAAGTCCTGCTCATCTGGGGAGGAAAAAAATTTCTGGCTCCATGCCTAGAATTAGGTGGTCAGTTTTTCTCCTGTTACTCCTCTTCATTACTATTGCCATCTCCGTTTTCCTAATTTTTTTCACTTTAGACCTTGTAGTTTGTTTTTAAATCATCCCCACAGTGGCCAGGAGTTTGAGGGCACAGCCCCCATCTGCTTTCTCTCTTTGGCCCTCAAAGTGCCTGGTATAGGCCTAATAGAAGAGGTACTGGATAATGTTAGTTGAAATAAGTTGAATCATCATTTAAAAAAAATTAATAGCATCATTTCCTAAAGCAAATTGCTGCACTACAGACAAATTACTCTACAGTTAAATTCCATACCCTGTATATCTTGTGTTATACAATAGATGTATTCCCTATAGATGGGTGGTCAAGTGAACTTCTATAAATTAAATCTTTGTTTCATGTGTTTATACTTTCTATACTGTCAGAGATGCTAACATCAGTGGTTATTCTTTTTTTTCTTTGTTGTCATTCTTTATCTCTCTACTTCTTCCAATCTTCCCCACTACAGAAGTCTACAGTTCATTTGATGCAATATTTATTGGTCATCTACAATTTGTGAAACTGTTGTCAGGTTATTAATCTGTACTTCCTACCACAAATATTTAAATGCAGTACTAGAGTATTATTTAATTGAATCCTGTCATAAAGCAAAGCATCCCTTCTGACTGATTTTACATTTTAATATTAGTTCAGCTTTGGCTTGTCTCGGTTTTCTTTTACCAATTCTCTAGCTAGATTACATCACACTTCTTGGGTATTTTTTTTTTCTTTCATAAGTCACTTTAATGCATCTATCTTGCTTTGTCTACCCACCCCCCCCCCCCTTTTTTTTCCACCACAGCTGTGCTGACCCTGTATTTCCTGCATTGGAAAGAAGATGCCTCCACATCTATATACCATGCCTTCAGCAGCCTCTGTTACTCCCATCCTGGGAGCAGTCATTGCTGACTCATGGTTGGGAAAATTCAAGTAAGGAAGATAGGAGGTCACATCCCTACAGTTTTCATAGATTAATTGTGCAGAAAGCTATCAATTCTAGCCTCTTGCTTTTGAGCAAGAACATACCTATGTCACGCATGAAAAACAACTTCTTGGGTATTTTTGCAGCCTTGACCTTGCTATCTCAGTGATTACAGGCTGTCCTGGCCATGCATAAACCAACCACCAAAAATGTGGTAGATTTGAAATGGAGCAGCCAGGGAGTGAACTATTCAACTCAGATCTTACTAAGTAAGATCATCCCGACGTAGGCTTCTGATCACAGACTTTAGTCCTAGGCTCTCCCTCTATTCCTGTGGCCTGATAATATAAATTAGGTTGTCATCACCCAAACATAATATTCCTATTTCCAAAAGGATTTTCTAGAAGATTGCCTCTAATATCAAGATTCCCTAGTGCTTTTATGGTAGGATTTAGCGTACAAACACTCCAAAGATGATACTATGTATTCAGTACAAGTGATACTATGTATCAGTACAACAAGAAAGATGTCTCAACTTTCAGAAGGGAGTTTACCTTCTCACAGGGAATGAAAACAGAAGTAGAGTTACAATCTGGTGCTGTAAGAATGCAGGGTTACAAGTGGCAGTGGGGGGTTGGAATGGCGGAATCAGCCGTGGTAGCTGACTCTCCCCTCAGCATCATGATCCAGGAAGAGTGGGGTTCATTTTGCAAATCTGATGGCTCACAGGCGGCCATCAATTCTTGAAGAGACTCAAATGGAGGAAATAAAGTACCAAGCCTTTGTCACCACTTGTCAACCTCAGTTCTTCCATCTCAGGGCCAGGAAAACCCACAGCCACCTATGATGGTGAAGTAACATAGGCCTCAAAACACCAGTGACTAAACGTCAGTTGAGCATGAACCAGGAAAGCTCACACAAGAGCCTGGGATGACTTTCTAAGCAGGATACAGACAGAAAGTCACCATTCCCAGATTCATTGCCCTGCACTCAGCTCCTCCCATCATGCCAACCTCTTTCTGGTTTTGGGGGCGCAGAAGAAGACCATTTATACAGACAGAAATGAGCCATATAACAACCCTGGCTGGTGGCATCTTATCTCATGATATTCCTCCCTCCCGGAATGCTGTTCCCACATACACTCCATGTCTCCTTACCCTCCCTGACTTTCAACACCTATTAAAAGCCCTACCTTATCCGGAAAGCGTTCTCTGACCCACCAGCTCAATGTGTGCTAGAGATTATGGTGGGGGTTTTATGCACATCACTCCGTTGAATCCCTAGCAGGGTATCCACCAGGTATCATTAGCCCTGTTAGGAGGAAACTGACAGAGAGAAGGCTCAGAGAGAAGTCACAGTATGTCTTCATGGCTTCAAAATGGCAAAGAGGAATGAAGCCCAGGTCTTCATGACTCCAAAACCTGTGTTCTTAGGCACTTTTGACATGATGCCCCCACTCCAGCCCCTTTTCACTTGTACCATATAAAAAGATGACAGTGCTTGCAGACCTCCATTACTATTATAAATAGTAACTTTATTAGGTTACTCAACCGGGTCATTTCATGTGCTTGTAGGATTAAATTTTTACGAATTATGTGAAACACTTTTCCAACTTCACTGAGGGTTCTTTGAAGGAAGGAATATCTTGCACTTCTTTTCTCTTACGGGCCCGTGGTAAAGACATACACATAGTGACTAAATACTTGTTCACTCATTGTGGGGAGAAGGAAGGCTGCAGAAATTGGGGTCAGAGAATAAGGAAAAGGAATTTGAATGTACTGAATACCGGACACCACACTTCAAAGAAATTTTTTGTTCAACCATATGTTAATGCTTTGTGATAGGTGCTTTCATCTTTGGTAGAAGAGTTTCTTTGTTTCTGGGCCTTGTAGAAATTGAGTAACTCACCTAATTTCACATTTTGTAGAACAGAGATGCTGGCACATCCTGTTTCTCAGTTATGCCCATTCCTGACACACATAATTGACTTTCTGATTTTAAGCCGGATCCATGGTTAAATCTGGTTCCAAATGACAGCCCTTTAGAGCATCTGCTGTTTTTCTTGATAATGTGTTCTGGGAAATTTAAGGTCACTAACTAGATCTAAAGGAGATGAGATTGCCAAGTTTCAAAAGGGCAGGAACAATCCTTGGCCGCACGCCAGGGAAGGAAAGACCATTTCATGGAGAAGGAAGGAAAAGGTAGTGAGTGCCCCATGGGAAAAACAATTGGAACAGAATGGATATAAAGACAGATGAGCTGGAGAGTGGAGCTACTCCTAGGGAAAGACTCACCCCCAACAACTGTGGAGGAGGCAGTGCTATCCCCTGCCAAGATGAAGCTGCTGTTGCTGTGTCTGGGGCTGACCCTTGTCTGTGCCCAGGAGGAAGAAACAATAACACTGTGACAAGCAACTTTGATCTGTCAAAGGTAGAGTTATGGCGCACAGTGACTTCTGGCTTCGGGGAGTAGTTTCGGGGATTCTGAAGCCTTGTGGGTCCTATTGTAGGCAGGAGTTCCTTAACATTTCAGATAAAAGGGTTGGTTTCTGACCTTGGGTTAAGAGCAGCTGTACCATATGAAAGGATGACAATGCTTAGGGACCTCCATCCTCCCTGAAGGGGCAGTGGAAAGAGCCCTAGGTGTGGTGCCGACTGATCTGAGTTCTAATTCTATCTTCACTTCACCATTGTGAGCCCCGGCCCACAGGCCAGAGTTCAAGAAAAGAAGTGTCCATGTGGTATCCCCACTCCTCTTTTCTCACTCACTCATCTTACTTATTTATTGCAGATTTCAGGAGAGTGGTATTCGGTTCTCATAGCCTCTGACCAGAGGGAAGAGATAGAAGAAGACGGAAATATGAGGGTTTTTGTGGAACACATTGGTTACCAGGGGGAATCTTCTCTGACTTTTAAGTTGCATGAAATGTAAGTACGGCCTTTTTTAGTTGGGGAAGGAAAACGGAAGCCCAGGTATGGTCTCGAACACACACGCGTGCACTGATCCAGGATTTGATGGATCTGGGGCTTTTGAAGATTCAGAGACAAGAGTTGGTAACAAGAATAAATCTAATTGGAGTGGGGGAAGCAGGAGGTATAGGGATATCAGAATCATAAGGAGCATGACAATATAGCATAGGTTAAGCAAATTAAATTTGGAACCAACAGCCTGAATTTGAATCTTTCAGTTACCAGTTGTGTTACAAAGAAAACTAATCTCTTTCCACCTTCATTTTCCCTTGGGTAAAAGGGGATGAGAATAATTCTTCCTCATGTTTTGTTTGTTTGTTTGTTTTGGGGTGTGTGTGTACCAAGAAATGTCACACTTGTAAAGCACTTAACTTGAGAATCTGGCATGTGGTGAACATTCAGCTAATGATCTAGACAAGCAGATGTAGTAACAGCAACAATGTGAAGTAGCAACAGTAGCAATAGTGCTAGAATTCGTTGTTTAAGTCATTCTTAGCATATCAAATCATGTGAAATAATACACATAAAAGGCCTTTGATAATTGTACCAAAAAATGTTCAAAAGTCGAATCAGAAACTCAAGTTACTGGCAGAGTAGAGGGTGAGGGAGCCAGCCTCATCAATAGCTCCTGGGCATCAATTTATTCTGTTTTACAGTGAAAATGGAAACTGTACTGAAATTAATTTGGCTTGTGAACCAACAGAAAAGAATGCCATATGTAGCATTGACTGTAAGTTTTTTTTTAAGTCTTTCTAAATTATACTTCCAACTGCAAGGAATTTACTAAACCCCAGTATCTTCTGGATCTTGATCAATTTCTGATCAATAACTATTTTGGTAATAAAATGGGGGCCATCAAATAGTCAATAACCTGAATTTGGGAGAACCCTGCATGTAAAAGCCAGTGCCTGGCACATGATACCATCAGCTTAAGGAAGGTGACTTGGTCATATGCACCTCCTGCAACAAAAGTTAATTGGCAGGGGAAAAAATGTACATTGGGGCTGGGCACGGTAGCTCATACCTGTAATCCCAGCACTTTGGGAGGCTGAGGCAGGCAGATCACCTGAGGTCAGGAGTTTGACACCAGCCTGGCCGACATGGCAAAACCCTGTCTCTACTAAAAATACAAAAATTAGCCAGGCGTCATGGCACGCACCTGTGATCCCAGCTACTTGGGAGGCTGAGGCAGGAGAATCAATTGCTTGCACCCAGAAGGTGGAGGCTGCAGTGAGCCAAGGTTGCACCACTGCACTCCAGCCTGGGCAACAAAGCGAGACATTATCAATCAATCAATAAATAAAGTAAATTGGCAGGACAGCTTCCCGTTCTCTGCCTGGCTTTCTGGATACCTGGTGGTCATTGTCACAGCACATTGCTCAGGATGTAGCGTCAAGTAAGTAATGCCATTGGGGCTTATAGAGAGCACAGAGACACATCATTGGCAGAGATACTGTTGGAGGTGAGTAGGTCTTGGGGGGATGATAAGAAGTCAGTTACTGCTGGGCCTACATTTTTTGACCACTAGTGGTCAATCTACCCTTTTCTCAGAATATGCCTCATGAAGTCCAGAGAGATGCAAATGGAAGATATTAAACATCCTCACTGTTCCTAACAGGATACGTACTTGAAGTTGTGTTGTCGGTGAGAACAGGTAAAGGGTTTCAACTGCTTTCTATGGACCAAAGGAGTTCTGAGATGTGTTCTGTTTCCTCCACAGATCACGGACACAATGTAGTTAACATACTTGAAGTGGACTATGATAATTATATATTTTTTCATGACAAGAATTTCAGGGATGGGGAAACATTCCTACTGATGGAGCTCTATGGTAGAGTATTTTCATGCTGACACCCATCTTGGGATGGGAAAAAGGGGGAAGGCAATAACCTTAGATACAAAGTGGTCTTCCCAACTTATCCTGGGCCATCTCTCTTTCTCTGAAAACACATGCTTACCTTTAATAATCCCTAGGCTCAGTGATAAGGAATTATGATCTTTCTTTATGCTAGAAAGATATCCTACTGATGTCAAACTGGGCATCCAATGGGTGCCATTCATTTTCCCATCTATCTGGAGCCTGGTCCCCTCATTTGCCTCTATGATGAATACCTAAGACATGGCAGTTACTGTCACTCTTCCCACAGCCCGAACACCAGATGTGAGCTCACAGATCAAGGAGAAGTTTGTGAAATACTGTGAAGAACATGGAATTGTTAAGGAAAACATACTTGACTTGACCAAAGTTGGTAAGTTTAGATTTCTGGTGTTCTCTTCCTAAATTCCTGTGTTACAGAAAGAAACAATCTAGGGGAAGTAATACCCCCAAATCAGTCCCCTTTGTGCTAACTTGGAGGATCATCTGGTTTCTCTCTGAAAAATAAACTGGTGTTGGTGTCTGAATTTGTTCTGTTCTCCCTCGACAGATCGATGTCTCCAGGCCCGAGATGGGGGAGCAGCCTAAGCCTCCAGGTTGGTGATTTCTGACTCTGTTGGAGAGAGGGTGGCCCAGGGACCAGTGCCTTCCAGAAGCATTAGGAGTTTGTACTCAAAGACACCATAAAAATAATTTGGTAGGGATGCTTCTGGGGAAAACTTGAAATTGGAAGACCTGGATAGAGGACTCAATCCTCCCATGAGCTTTGAGCAAATAACCTAAAACTTAAAAAGGAAACAATGGTCCAGGTGCGGTGCCTCATACCTGTAATCCCAGCACTTAGGGAGACAGAGGTGGGAGGATTACTTGAGCCCAGGAACTCGAGACCAGCCTGGGTAACATAGCAAGACACGATTGTCCGTGAAAGGCGGGGGTTGGGGGAGGCTGGGGGGAGACCAAAAAAGAAAAAAAAAAAAGAGGAAACAACCATGCCTAGCGTACAGAGTTGCTGTGGATATAACGCTTGTGAAAAGGGCCCAGTAATTGCTAAAAATCAGTAAGACTTCGTGTTCGAAATGGAAAAAGAGTAGTAGGTTCTATGAAACTGAAATATGTTTCTGTGTTTGTGGACCATCTCCCAGGAGGCCATCTCACCCTCCAACTTATGATCCACATTTCTTCCTTTGTACTCTGTATGTCCTTGACTTCTAACCTGGGAATGGAACTGTCTGACCATCCCATTTTCTGCCAACCTGGAAAATAGACTCTAAGTTTCCTCAACTGCCTTTGATTTATTGTGGGGCTTTATTCAGATAATGTATGTGAAAGTCTTAGCAGCTTGCATAAAGCAAGTATTTAATAAGAGATATCTGTAGAGTTTGCCATTATTCCTCGACGTATAAAAAATTCTTCAAAACTTCTAATGCTGAAGATGGCAGAAACAAGCCTAGGACCCTTTATTGCTTCCTTTCTCTTTTTCATAAATTCACTTGGGGGATGGTTAAGATGGCATTACAATAGTAAAAAAGCAAAAGTCATTTACTCAACATCCTTCCTCCTCCTATTCTGGTATACAATATAAGTTAGAACACAGGGTCAGATCCATTTCTTCATTATTTTTCTCTATAATAGAATGTACCTTCATCCTTCATGCAATCCAAGGAATGTTTAGTAAGTTCCTGTGTCCTTTCTCTTCTCTGCTTAATTAGTGTGAATGCTTTGTCACCTGGACTCCAATATCTTCCCTTCCTGGACCCCACGTCCTCTTGTGACAAGTTCTGTGACCTGGTTTCCATCATGTCACACACAAAGACATCATCCCTGCATCTTTAGGATCTTCCCTAACTGCAGAAGAAGACTCAGAAATTCACCAAGGATTAAAGGTTTGCTCTGAATTTCTGACTTTGTCACAGCCAGGGGAACTCTACATGAATAACACCTGACTCCACATGATCCATAAATAAATAATTACCCTTGCAGTCATGTCATTTGTCTTTGTATCTTTGAGAATGTGAGGCTGACAGTGAGCGAATGAAGGGGCTTCCTTGCCCCTGAACCCATAATCCTCCTCTAGTGTCTCAATCTTCTCTGAGCTTCAGGATTCTCCTTCCTCTGCAGTAATTCCCTGTTGGTTATCCCAAATCCCCGTGAGTGCTGCTTGCCCTTTGATTTGCCAATTTCTTAGTGATCTGATAAGACTGTTATCAATAATATAAGAATATAAGATTTGCCCCATGATTTCTGCATCCTAGAATTCTCTTTTTCAACTGGGGACACTGACAGATAGCTGCTGCTGAGGCTGGTACCAGCTTGACAAGGTTCAAAATGTGCCTCCAGATCCCAGCTTCTCTGTACCATCCATCCTGTAAGATGCATTCAGGGCCCTTTCACACTCTTGAAAAACCTCCTTCAAGCACCACAGTTATGTACTATGAACACAGTAAGTGAGATTCCATTAAATGCAAGCAATACCTGTCTTCAGCAACCTGTACCTGGTTTTGTCAGCAGGCATCAATGGGGAATGTTATTCACTTCTTCTTTTGAAAGTTAACAGGCTTGGGTAAAGGGAAATGAAAGATCTTTCACCACTAGTGACCCTTTCCCAACACCAGCAGATTTAAAAAACACACACTGGGGCCTGTCAGGGAGTGGGGGGCTAAGGGAGGAATAGTAGGGGGTAGGGGGAGTGGGGAGGCATAGCACTGGAAGAAATACCTAATGTAGATGATGGGGTGATGGGTGTAGCAAACCACCATGGCATGTGTATACCTATGTAGCAAACCTGCACATTCTGCACATGTACCCCAGAACTTAAAGTATAATTTTAAAAATGTAAAAGTTACCCATGGGTATTAGGGCAGAGCAAGGTGGCTGGGGGATTGTCCTCAGGAAGAGTGGCTTAGTCCTTATGGGCATAAAGGTTAATGAGAGAAGGTTTTCTAGGCAGCAGAAGCTCCCATATCTTGCTTTGCTCCAAGATCAGAAGACTAAATTAGGTTCAGATTATTAACCTGGATCAAATGCTTGGTCTGGTTTGCTGAAATATGGCAAAAGGTTACACAGAAAGAACCAGTTATGCTGAAATCTCTCATTTTTTGCTGTTGGCATGTAAGGGACAGGACAGCTGATGCCCAGAAGTGCATGACCTAGCAAAGCCTTGAGAACACTTAGAAAATTAATAATAATACATGAATTACTTCACTTAGAATAACAGTCTCCAGTCTCAGCCAGGTTACCACAAATGTCATCAGCTCATTCTTTTTTATGGCTGAGTAGTATTCCATCTTATACACATACCACAACCAAACATTATATGTTCTCATTCATAAGTGGGAGCTAAGCTATGAGGATGCAAAGGCATAAGAATGACCCAATGAACCCTGGGGACTCAGGGGGAAGGGACAGGAGGGAAGTGAGGGATAAAAGACTACAGATAGGGTACAGTGTATACTGCTTAAGTGATAGGTACACCAAAATGTCACAAATCACTGCAAAAGAACTTGCTCATGTAACCAAACACCACCTGTTCCCCATAACCTATGAAAATAAAAAAAAAGGCAGCTATAAAAAAATAAAATTAATAACAGTAACAATTGAGGACCACTTTGATAAGAGATGGCTGGGTAGTGCCACGTGTTAGGAAACTACAGCCCAGAAGGGAGACTATTTACAAGTCAAGGCCCTCTGCTATTTACAAGTCAAGGTAGCAGCTTGAGCTCACACTGAAGCCTACCCCTTCAACTCCAAATATTTTGTGCAAGTGAGGCATGAAATAATACCCAAAGGAAAATAGGAAATGTTCATAAATCAGAAACAGAAAAATCTAGAATAATCCCCTCCACACACCTTTTTGCTGTTGTTGTTGTCACAGAGGGAGTCTTGCTCTGTCACACAGGCTGGGGTGCAATGGTGTGATCTTGGCTCACTGCAACCTCTGCCTCCCAGGTTCAAGCAATTCTTATGCCTCAGTCTCCCAAGAAGCTGGGATTACAGGCATGCGCCACTGTGCCTGGCTAATTGTTGTATTTCTAGTAGACACAGAATTTTGCCATGTTGGTCAGGCTAGTCCCAGCTCCTGACCTCAGGTGATCCATCTGCCTCAGCTTCCCAAAGTGCTGGGATTACAGTGCTGGGATGACACTGCTCCCAGCCAAAAAGCAGAATGATCCCTTTCTAAAGAAAAAAAAGGGAAAAAACAGATGGGAATGATGAAGGTAAACAGACCAGAGCAGCATCATTTTCCAGGTTCTTAGAATAGCTCAGAAGCACCTTGGGTCAATGTAGTGCTGGGAAAAAGTGTCACAATGGCCAGACAGGGGTGCAGGCTGAAGGTGCACACCTCTGAGGAGCAGAATGAATTTGAGACAACTCCTCTCCCTCACATGGAGTCTCAGAGACTGGCTGACTCCTTGTGATAAGGCATCGTCACTCATTTGAGAAAGAAAAAAGGCAGTCCTGGACTCCCACAGCTGGGCTTCAGTGCTATCACAAGCTCACACACTGGGCTGCTGCTCACAGCTAAGCCAGATTGTTCTGTTGGACATACACAATCTTGCAAAACATCAACATTAAACAAAGTCACTCTGCAACCATAAAAACAAGATCATTGTGCAATCCACAAATATGCCACTCTCTTGGCTAAAATGACTGGCAGCTATTTCTTTACCAATTACAGCTTTATCTTCATGCTTCTCTCCCCTCCCCGTTAATATTTTTTGAGATATCAAATCATTAAATTTTCCCCGTTTCTGGCAGCACCAAATCTGGAGCTCTCTTAGTAAGTTTTTTCCAAATCCTGTAGTAGCTTTTTTTCTACTACTCTCTTACTGAGACGCATATGGGTTCCCAGTGATATGTGTTCTTCCTAGCTGCAATAGTTCAACTACAGGTACGTTCAACTATTGCAACCCAATTTGTTCAACTACATGTACATTCCAGGGGCTCTTTGGTTGAAGGATATTAACACTTTTAGGACAAGAGCCCACTTCCGCTCCACGTACCTGCAGCCTACAATTCTGGGAACCACCAAACTAAATCACAAATGCAAGGCCTGGTTTGATACTGTGCACCTGGTAGGGGTTAGAACAGGATGCCTCTAAGGACTTCGGCCTAAGAAATTAAGAGGTTGGAATTTGCCATTTACTGCAATCTGCTAGAGGAGGAGGTTTAGTGGGGAAGGATAAATATATCAGTTTTAAACATTTCATTAGCTTATCTAACCTGCTAGATAAACTAGCTGCTATAAAAGAGACTCAATCAAAATCCAGTATAATTTAATAAAGATAGAATTAGTTTCTCTCTTCTATGAACAATCTAACATAAATGATCCAAGTTGGCTGGCAACTCTGTTCCTTGTAGTCATTCAGGAGCCCAGTTCTTTCTTTGTACTATCCCCTAGGACATTATCCTCATTTGCATGGTTAAAACGGAGTTGCATGTGGTAAAGGAAAAGAGGCTGGTGGAGGCATGGTCTTACGACCACTGGAGGCTGTGGTCCCTGACTCTGGAAGGTTCTTTCTTGTTCCTTATCCTTCATGATCACTACCCATTTCCTGCTTGTGCAGGCTTGTACAGATTGTTTGGAGGAGTAAGGCATCACATGCAGCTAAGCATGGTGGCGCATACCTGTAACCCCAGTGCTTTGGAAGGCTGAGGCAGGAGGATTGCTTGAGGCCAGGAGTTTGAGGCTACAATGAACTGTGATTGTGCCACTGCCCTCCAGCCTGGGCAACATAGCAAGACCCTGTCTCAACAAAAGAAAAGATTAACTGGGTATGGTGGCGGTTGCATGCCTGTAGTCACCCCAGCTACTTGAGAGGCTGAGGCGAAAGGATCTCTTGAGCCTAGGAGTTTGCAGCTGCAGTGAACTGCGATCATGCCACTGCCTTGCAGCCTGGACACAGGGTAAGACCCCATCACGCTTTTGCTATAGGCCAAGGCTAAATTTCTTTTGGCAATACAAATTTCTCAAAAATTTAGTAGACTTCTGCTATATTTGCCTCTTGACTTTTCCATGTACAGGTAACCATACCGCTCCCCGCCCCCACGAGCCCAAATCTTATCTAGACATAAATTTAAGCCTGGAAACTCTGGTATTTCCTAGATTGGCTTCTATGCTCTGCCTATCCCATTTCTTCTCTTAATTGAATGGTGGCTGCTTTGAGACCATCTAAAACAATGGACCTGAGGTGAATTCTTAAGCCCTTTTTTGCCAGCAGGCTCACAACTTTTCTTGGTGAAGCCCATATTTTCACTCCTATTAAGCCTAGATTTTTGCTTCACAGCCATTACTTACAACTGCTTTGCTTTGGGGTATAGAAGCAGCAAACCTCAATTTAGAGTGAGGCTGCAGGCAGAGAAGGCCTCCTTTAGTAATGCCCTCCCTACGTGAAGCTTGGCTAACTCCAAGCCTCTCTCTCTCATAAGTTTGGCTGAAAGCAGCAAGAAGTTGCCAATACAGTACCAATATGCCAATATCCTGAATTGTTCCTATTTCCCCAGCTCTGTAGCCTTTGTCAGCAAATGGTCCATCTTCCCAGGTACAGCAAACAACCATTAGATCAAATGTTTCGCTCACATGTAATTAGAGGTACCAGCTTTCCAGGCTGTGATATCTGAATTCTTGATACCTAATGCCTACCTTTTTCCAGACAGAGCTTTGGCCACAATCTTAAGTTCTGTCAATTGCCTCAACTAGTAAGTCTCCGCCATATCTGATATTCTTTGAGCTATTCTTGGCTGATAAAAGTCATGAGAAAGCCAATAATGGACTTGTTAGTGAAGATCTAGGTCAGTTGATGCATTCTAGAATATGGAGCAATTTATGTCAGGCCAAAGCCTGTAGAGGTTTATTGGTTGGTTTCCTTGAAGATATTGAGAAAATAAATCTCAATCCAAGTTAGAGTAAATGCCCCTTCATGTTCTGTACATCTACCCTCTTAATGTAAAAATATCGTTGCTAGTTTAATTTGCTTTGGATATTCCCACTGACAGTGAGATATCTGGACTTATAAATGTGGTATTTTTTCCTGAGCATGTAACAGTTAGTTTTGTGGCCATAACGGTAATTGCTTTTCTTTGGGAAAAAAACTCCTCCCAGTGACTGATGCCCCTAGAAAATAAGTTGGTGCATTCTTTTTGAAGTAGAAAGTTGTAAGTCTCTCTGACCATCTCCATTTGTACCTGGTTGCAACAAATCAGTGCTATACTATCATGCTGATTTAATAACAGATTTCATTATCAGCAACATAAATGCTAATTTTCTTCACCGAATTAAAAGGGAATGTACTAGATCTCCATTAGCATTGTTAGGTCTTGGAATCTAATTGGTGAGTGAAAAAAAAAGCTAGTTGTTAAGAGGCACAGTTTAATACCATATACGTAAATTGTAAATAACACACAGAACCCTGCATTATTTACGGATACCTATATATATAATGCAACTCTTCTCATAATATGCATACAAATCACCTGGAGATCTCGTTAAGCTGTAGACTCTAATTCAGTAGGCCTGGGTGGAGCTTGAAATTCTACTTTCTAACAAGCTCCCAGATGATGCCAGTGCTACTGGTCTGTGGTCTATACTTTGCAAGGTATTACATAATTAAAGTGGATTGAAAGGATACCTTCTGGCCATAGGCTCCCAGGAAGTGAGTACAAGTCAGAGGGGATCCAATCTGTAGCACTTATTTTTATTATGGGTAATTTTTCAAAAGAAGATATGCATAGATAAAATGACCAGGAAAAAAAGATCAAATGTTCAGAGTGTTGTTGCTTCTGAGTGATCGATATATGGTTGATTATTTTCTCCTTCCTGGCTTTCTGCAATTTTCAAACTGAGAGACAGAGAGAGAGAGAGAGAGAGAGAAGGAAAGGAAAAGAAAAAAGAAAAGGAAAGAATATATGGGTATAGAGTTCTGAGCTGCATTCCTTTTTGGAGGCTCTGGAAGAATCTGTTTCCTTGCCTTTTCCAGCCTCTAGCGAGGCCATGGCCCCTTCCTCCACTTTCAAATCCAGCAGCGTCAGATTTAGTCGTCACCCGCCCATCTGTCTGGTTCTTTTCTCTGCCCCCTTCTTTCACTTGTAAAGACTTCTGTGATTACACTGGGCCCATCCAGATAATCCAGGATAATCTCCCCATCTCCCCATCTCAAGGTCAGCTGATCAGCAATTTAATTCCCTTTTGCTTTGTAACCTAATGTTTTCACTAGTTCCAGGAAGTGTGGACACCTCTCTGCCTACTGTAGGTCTCCTTAAGGAGTCCTCCATAACCTACCCCATGCTAGGCCTCCACGTGGATGGAGCTGGAGGCCATCATCCTTAGCCCACTTAAAGCTTCTAATTGCTGCCCAGGTCTCCTGCAATGCATCCACCACATGTTACCTTCAGTAATGGAAACTCACATCGCCTCTAACTCCCCACTAACCCAATGGTGCTGCAGTGAACATAATTATACATTTCCTCTTCTGGATCTCTATGAGATTTCTGCGAATATATGCCCCAGAGTGGATTTCTGCATCAGACAGTATGTGTATACACGATTTGACTAAGTACTGAGACTTTCTCCCAGAAGGCTGCACTCATCTGTACTTCTATCAACAGTGCACGAGGGTTCCTGCATTTCCATATTTCTTCCAACCTGGCCCTATCCAGCTTTCTCATGTTTGCTAGTGTAATAGGTATAAATTGACATCTCAGCATTACATAATTAACATTTCTCTGGATACTAATGAGTTGGAAAATCTCTTCCTTTACTTGTTAGCTTTTGGGGTTTCCTCTTCTGTACATTGCTTACTCATGCTATTTTTCCACTCAAATTTCTATCTTTTATTTTGTGTGTATATGCAGGAATTCCTGGAACTCTATAGCTTGTTAATTTCAGATACTGCAAATATCCTCTCCCACAGTCACGTTAACTTTGTTCATGATGTCTTTCAACTTTAATGCAATCAGATTCATCTCTTTTTTGGCAATAAAGGACTCACGCTTCATGCTTTTAAAGATTTCTTTGGAAAATTGCTTACTGCTTCTATTACATAAAAATATTCTCCTATATTTTCTCCTATTAACTTTATAACTTTGTCTTTCACATTTCAGTCTTTAATCTGTCTGCAGTCTACCTTTATATGTGGTAGGAGGTACAAATCTAGTTTTCCCAACTTACTAAACAATCTATGTTTCCCTCACTGATCTTTAGTGCCACATTTATCATATATTAAATTAGCAAGGTATTTGCTGGGAGAGAATAGAAATATTTTAATTTTAACTCATTTCATCAAGATAACGAAATGTCTATCAAGTTATTCAGGTCCTCTTCTATGTCCTTAAAGTTTTAACAAGTTTGAGTCCCCAAGGCCCTCCCTTTTGGCATAGGAAAAATAAGCTCATCAGTAACCTAAGGAGGAATTTATGGAGAAACAGCAGACAGTCTTAGGGCAGGGGCAGAGCTCATAAAGTCATTCTTGCAGGCAGGGAAAGGGAAGCACCTTTTGTGATATGACATCAGCTTGTGGCAGGAGTCAGAAGTCTGGTGTGCAACAGTGGCCTCTGCATCCAAACACAGTTCAGTTCAATCCGCAGTTTGATTCTAGTTAGTTTCAGAACCAGATGAAACTAGCTTGATTATCATATGTATTCTTGGTTATTAACTCCTATATATTTTCAGGATTTTTTTGGTATTTGTTGTTTTCTTTTAGCATTGGTTAATGCCATTAGTTATTGCTGATACAGAAAAGGGCTATTGATTTTTATAGGATGATCTCTCTAGCGACCTCAATGAGACTTTTTTATTAGTTCTCATAAAACTAGTTCTAACACTTTGTGGATTCTGTTGGTTTTACAGGTACAGTCATATTATCTGCAAATGATGTCACTGTATTTCTTCCAATCTTTATGTTTCATGCTCTTTTTTCTCTCCTTTCTTTATAACTTTGGCTAGCATCTCCAGCACTTCTTAAACATTGAAACCATATTTTCTATCCCAAGGGTTAGAAAATTATGACCCATAGGCCAAATCCAGCCCAAGGCCTGTTTTCATATAGCCCATGAGCCAAGAACATTTGCAATTAATGTGATACTAGAAACACTAACTTTCAACTCCAATTAAGCAAACTGTTATGCCAAAAAAGAATTCCATTCTTATCATTAAAAGACCTGTATTTTAAAATCATTGTATGCAATATTATATTTAGAGTTTCACCCAAAAAAAAAAAAAGCGGAAATGTGTTTGGCCGTTATATAAATACCTACATAATATTGTTGATTTTGCCTCTTGGCCTGCAAAGCCTAAAATATTTACTAGGTAGCCCTTTAGAGAAAAATTTTACTGATCCCTTTTCTATCAGCCTTTACCCCAACTGCTATTCTTTTTTTTTTTTTTTTTTTTTTTTTTGAGACAGAGTCTTGCTCTGTCACCCAGGCTGGAGTGCAGTGGTGCGATCACGGCTTGCTGCAGCCTCAACCTCCCAGATCAGGTGATCCTCCCACCACAGTCTCCCCAATAGCTGCGACTACAGACATGCACCACCACACCCAACTAATTTTTGTATTTTAGTAGGGATGGGGTTTCACCATGTTGCCCAGACTGGTCTCAAACTCCTGGGTTCAAGTGATTCACCCACCTCAGCCTCCTAAAGTACTGGGATTACAGGCATGAGCCAGTACTGGCCACCCCAACTGTTATTTACTATAGTTGTTTTATGCTGCATTTCCCCCTAAGTAACACATTTGTCAAAATGAACGACTTAGAATGCCTTTAATAAAATGGGCATTAAATTAGACAACTGTGTGATTAATGAACTATTTTGAAGTAGTCCTGTTACTGCTCCCCCTTAAACATTATGAATAATTTAAGCCTGAATGGAAGAAAACTAGATAAATGTCAAACTTCCAGAGTAAATATCAAATCAGGACATTCTGAGGTTATTTCAGGTATTCAAGGACAACAACGAAGACTCCAAATTTCTATTGTTGGCATAGAGGGCCTTGCCATTCCACTCTTTTATCCCAAGACAGAACTTTCATTGAAACTATCCCTGGAAACAGGCCCATCATAATACTAGCTGTTGTTCCTGAAAATGAGTATTTCAGGGATATTGTACCACTGGTTTAAAAAAGTTTATGATGGCCCTGTTCTTGGTTATTAGAACAAGAGACAATTACTGGCTAACCACTTAGTGAAGAGAGAAGTGGAGAGCCGGGTTGATTGAAGAGCCTAGCTCTGCACGTCTGACCTGGTCAGCAGCGCCAAGAGCCATTACCCAGCTGCCAGGATTCCCACAACCTAACCCAGCTACCTTCGATTTCCCCATGTTCCTGTTAAACCTCAATTAGCCCTGCACACAGTTTTCCTCAAAAACCCAAGAACAATTCTACAACTTCTTGTCCTTGCAGTTTCCTTTGTCTGAAATACTCATCCCCCAGATGTCTACATGATGCACTTCCTCACAACCTTCTGGCTCCTGAGTGTCCCCTCACAGAGAATAGCCTAACAGAATAAAGGAGCATTCTTTCCCCAGCCTCCTTGACTGGCTCTCATACTTCTTTGTTGCCTGTACCCACTCTCTCTAGAACAAAGTGCAACAAAGCCATGAGTTGTATTTGTTCACTGTGGTATCAGCACCAGAAACAATACCAAGTGTGACACGGGCACTCGGTGTGTGTTGCTTTAATAAGTGGGCTTCTGGTCAGGTATGGTGGCTCACGCCTGTAATCCCAGCACTTTGGGAGGCGGAGATGGGCAGATCACTTGAGGTCAGGAGTTCAAGACCAGCCTGGCCAACATGGTAAAACCCCTTCTCTACTAAAAATACAAAAATTAGCCGAGTGTGATGTGTGCCTGTAGTACACACTACTTGGGAGGCTGAGGCAGGAGGATCTCTTGAACCCAGGAGGCAGAGATTGCAGTGAGCTATGGCCGTGCCACTGCACTCCAGCCTGGGCAACAGAGAGAGACTCTATCGTTAAAAAAAAAAAAAAAAAAAAAAAAAAAAAAAAAAAGTGGGCTTCCAAGACCTGCATAGGCAGGAGTAGAAACTCATTCTCTTTCTCCTTTCTCTTGTCCTAATATCTTCAGGAGGGTGTTTCAGTTCACACTGAAGAATGTGGGCCCTTTTGGATTTTGCCTGCTAGTGGGATGGAGAGAACTTTAAGAAGATGGCTTCATAAAACCCTGGGCTCTTGGAACAGAGGCCTACTTATCCCTCACACATACAAGAAGAGCAGGCCTAGCAATCAACCTCCGAGAGAAAAACTAGGGGCCATGACCCACCTTCTCCACCTTCTGTAACCCTGGCCACAATGCTACATACCTCACTCTTCATCCTGTCCTGCCTCCCAGGAGGTCTTGATAAAAGTTGGGATTCAAGATGATACTGAAATGGTAGTCACATAAGTGGCCAGATCAAGGGAAATGGGTGTTTCTGGAATATGACTCAGTCTTCTGAGTCCAGTCAGGGTGGTAGCAGGGGTTAAGGGTACCAGAGATCTCTAAATACACAGATAGAAATGAAGGAGTAGATTTGCAAGTTTCAGAAGAAAAGGACTGAGCATGTGGGGAGTCTTTACCTACATGCTTCTGGTTTCCATTCCTCAAATCAGTTCCCCAATCAACTCACTCACTCTCACAGCAGATAAGGATATGAGATATCCCTCAACAAAAACAAGGGATAACCACCTTAGTTGCCATCTTGTGTGATATGCATATTGCTAGACCTCTTCCCCAAACTGACAGCTATGCCTGCATCTTCACATTCATTAAAGCCAAGAAGAGATATCCCCCCACCATTGAGTTGCTGCTCTCCATGCACCTTCACTGTACTTTTTCAACTCAGCTCTAAAGAAAGGAGTATAATAAAGATCCATCTATTTCTTTCACATCTGTAAAATGGGAAAAATTAATACCTGATTAATGGATTGTTGTGAAGATTAGTTAATATTGCAAAGCACTTGGAATAGTGCCTGACACACAGTAGGCACTATTTAATGAGTTTGCTATTATTTCTTTAATACATTTCTTCAGTTTGCTAATAATTAAATTATAATTTTTAGATCTAGTTTCATAATTTTGAGACTCACCATGGTATATTTTCTGCATAATTCATATACATTTTTATGTTAAGGTAATGCTAAATTCATAAAATATATGAGAGCTTTCCATCAGAAAATAATTCAAATGGCTTTGGGATGAGCTATTTTAGAGATTCTGAATCAAATTACAGAGAATGTATCTGTGAAACTGTCAGGTCATCATCTTTGGTAACTGACTTTTTCCCATTTCTTATTTCTCTTGTGTAGGGCTGTAGGGCACCACAGGGTCGTGGGGTGTCCCTTAGGCTGTGCTGAGGTGCAGGATCCAAGAAGTAAAGAGACAGGACACTGAAGAACTGGTGAAGAGCAGCTGGACTTGAGCTGGGGGAGGGGGTGGCACACAATCTATAAGCAAAGATCAGTGAGGACCCAGGTACAAGAAGGGGGAAGGGTCAAGAGTGAGGTCATCATCTATAGGCTTAGTGATGGGGCATAATCAAATGAGTCACAAGTGAGGGGACCACCCCATTATGTTACCTAAGGCCCACCAAGGTATCTCCAGAATCTGGACCTTGGAATTATTTTGGAGCCTTCACTTGCACTCAGCTTCAGTAGGGGCCGACCTCAATGCCTTTAGGAAATAAGGGGACATGCCTGGTAACAGCCCAGGGCCTCACAGCATCTCCAAGGCCTGCGAGTCAATGCAGTGTGGCATGTCATTCGCTCTACCTTCCAAACATAGCCAGTTGCTGCTTCACAACAGAACAGTTTTGATATGGATGGACCCCTGAAACTATCACCATGGTCAACACTGAGAATATCTGTTTCTCTCATTTCTCTTGTCCCTTTGTGATCTTGCCCTCCCGCAGTGCCACACAAACCCTTCGTCACTATGGTTTGCATTTGCTAGAGATTTCTATCAACACATCATCAGTGTGTACTCTTTTCCTTTGGGCAGGGGGAGTCTGACTACTTTCACTTAGCGTAATTCTTCTGTGACTCACTGAAGTCGTGTGTGTGAATAGTCCATTCTTCCTTTTCATTTCTGAGTAATGTCATTGTACGGATATCTCACAAATTGGTTATCCATTCACCCACTGATGGACATTTGGATTATTTCCCCTTCTTGACTATTACAAATAAAGGTAGATGAATGTTCATGTACATTTTTCTTGTTTTTCTCTGGGAGTGGAATGGCTGGGACATATAGTAGGTATTTAACATTTTAAGAAGCTGACAAACTTTTCTAGAGTTGTACCATTTTACATCTCCATCAGCAGGGTAGAAGAGTTCCAGTTTTTCAACATTTGGTATTTTTATTTTTAGCCCGGGCTGGCCTCAAATTCCTGAGCTCAAATGATCCTCCTGCCTCAGCTTCCCAAGTAGCTGGGAATACAGACTTGAGCCACCATGCCTGGCTTGCACCTAGTATTTTAAAATGGATAAATTGTAATGTGTTACAGAGAACCCAAAACTTCCCAACAGTTTCCTAAAATCTAAGTAAAACACATTAAGTGTCTGTATGAAAATAGCAAACTGTAATGTTAGGACATAAAAAGCTTAAAACATTATTTCTTCATCACCAAAAATGAATACAGTTGCTTCACATTCAGTAAGCCTGTGATGCTTTTCTTAGCACATCAGAGACACACATGACTTTTGTGGAGGATTCTGAAGTTCTGCCTTTACATGGACTGTAACACGAACTTTCCCCATGGATTGTTTAAAGTACTGCATTAAGTTTTTTAATGTAAGCAATTTTTTCCAAACTATCCAAAAATATTGAGATACAAATATTCTATAAAGAGGTGGGTATTAAAAATTAGGTCAGATGTGGTGACTCACACCTGTAATCGTAGCACTTTGGGAGGCTGAGGGGGGTGGATCACCTGAGCTCAGGCATTCGAGACCAGCCTAGCCAAAATGGTGAAACCCCCGTCTCTACTAAAAATACAAGAGCAAAACTTTGTCTCAAAATAAACAAAATAAAAATTAGAAACATTCTACTGGGACAACATTCTGTGGCATATGTTTTATTTCTGGTTCCACAGAGAATTGCTCTCCCCATGCCATCCCCTTGAAGTTGTGAGACACTGAGTAACTTCTCTGGCTAGTAGCATGTAGGCAGAAGTGATAGATGTCACTCCTCAGCAAGAGTTTTGAAAGCCAGTATGCAATTTATCCATTTTACTCTCTGCCACATCACCAGCTCACACTGGCCAATCCACCTGCCTGGTCCCAGAAAACAATGTTCTAAAGCCCAGGGTCCTCAGCTAGACTGTGAGGAACATGTAGGACAATTAAATTCCTATTTGTCCAGTTTAATGTGTGAAAGAAACCTTTGTGGTGTTACGCCACTGAAATTTCAAGGTTATTACTATAATATAACACAGCCTATCCTGCCAAGCACATGAAGTCAATCTTGGTCACTTACGTTTTGCTAGGAAAGCAAAATTCTTTAGGTTTCAAATTGCCACAGAGTTATACCCAATGTTCTTATATATGTTGTAATCTCTTCTAATTATGTTATTGGCTTGCGTTTGTTGTTCTCATATTTTCACTCTCTTGCTATCTCAATCAACTTTACCAGGATTTATATACTTCAGTTTCCAAAAACCCAGGTCTTTTTAAACTTCAACATGAAAGAAAAAGTCTAGCATGGTGGTCAAGGTCATGGGCTTGGAGCCAAACTGCCTACATGGGAATCACAGCCTTGTCAGTGTCAGGCTGTGTGATCTAGAGCAATGCCTGATCCTCTTGTGCTTCTGTTTTCTCTGTAAAACGGGATGAGAGCGCCTAATTTGTTTGGTCATTGGAAGAACTACTGCATGTAAAACTGGGGCTGGCATTTGTATATGTTCAATAAATATTACTTATAAGTATCTCTTCCTCTTTATTCTTACCAAACTATTGAAATTGGCATCCAGCTTATTTTTCAGTCTTAAAAATGTGAAAATACATGCCCTCAAATTTCAGCTTAAATTGTGTCCCATTACTTTTGATATAAAATGTTCCCTTTTCATTGTTATGGTTGATCTTGATTTCTTATAGAATCTAGGTATTTAATCTCATAATTTGTCAATTCAAACTAAGAAGTCATATTTACTTCATTCCTAGGTTTATTGATCAGAAAAGACCCTGGAAAAAATTTTAAGTGGCCAAATATATATCCTATATGTTCCACAGAAAGTATGTTCTTTGCATAGCTGTTTTATTCAAAAACTGTTTTGCTTACTAGACAGTGCAGTTATTTTTAAGAGGCATTGTCAACAGTGCCACTGAGATTGTTCTTATCAAGTTTCGTTTATTTTTTGGGAGGTTTTTTGCTTTTACAGTTTGACATATTTCTAATTTGGCACGATTGCAGTATATAAAATCCCAGTTAGTCCTGCTCCTGCTTTGATAGCCTCAACCTTCCTTAAATTCCCATTTGTTCAGTAACATCACCCCACCTGTTTTTTAATCATAGCCTTTCCTTAATCTAAAAACAGTTGTGCTATTCAATCCATGCTGAGAACCCACTTGGTAATAGGCAAAAGTCCTGTGGCTTCCATTTAGCTACTTGTATTTCCTATTTACTTTTGCTGCCTTTACTTTGTTCCTTAGAGTGGCTGATCTCTTTCCCTTGGTAATTTAGAAGTGCTACAATGTTTAGGTCTAGGAGCTACTGTTTCACTCTTAAACATCTACATTTCTGTTTAATGTACTAGCTATAAGTTACAAAGTGACTCTAAGCTACAAAGTGAAGTACAAGAAACTTTTGAAAAGGTGTTAGCTATTTCATGTCCATACACATTGAACTGGATTAAAGTAGGCTTCTGGGGGTTGGGGTGTAGGCACTTTCTGGGGTACAGAAGGGATGGGGTTTCTCTGTTGCCTAGGCTGGAGTGCAGCAGTATGATAATAGCTCACCACAGCCTCAAGTCCCTGGGTTCAAGCCACCTTTCTACCTCAGTCTCCAGAGTAGCTAGAACTAGGAGCATGCACCACCATGCCTGGCTTTTTTTTTTTTTTTTTTTTTAAAGAAACAGTGTTTCTCCATGTTGTTAATTTGAAATACTTTCCCCTGCGCAGGGCCGTATGCATCCTGCCAAGCTGCATTATATTCTGTACTGTCCCTCAAAACATAGCAATCTGGTGGGTCCCTTAACATTAGCTCCAAACAACATCTTGGGTGCAAGTATATTACTTCATAAACTGTGCCTTGAAAGTGTCAGGGTCACGGCAACCATTGCTAGAATGTCAAGTTTTAAAATCGTTAAATATTTCAGAGGGTAGCCTGAGGAGAGTTGGAACGTTGCCCGGAAGATGGAGCTAATGTTCCTAGCACAAGGAATACCTAAGCATTGTTTCGAATAAGAACCCAATTTATTGGCAAACTTGTGCTTTTCCCTATTTGCACATCCTGATAATGTGTTTTCTATAAATTTTAATGTGTTATTGAATACCAAGGGCATGATTTCCTACCACATGTATGTTGAAATTGCATTTAAAAACCATATGTTAGGTATGATGGTTCATGCCTGTAATCCCGCTATTTGGGAGGCTGAGATTGGCAGATTAATTGAGGATAGGTGTTTGAGACCAGGTTGGACAACATGGCAAGACCCAGTCTCAAAAGAAATACTAATAATGCTAGGCGTGGAGGCACACACTGTAATTCCAGCACTTTGGGAGGTTGAGGTGGGCAGTTCGCTTGAGTCCAGGAGTTCAAGACCAGCCTGGACAACATGGCTTGTTGCTTCCCTGTCACCTCCATAAATTGATGTCCCATTCCAGGAGCTATAACTTCAGTTATTATCCAGGCTTTTCCTGTTCACACCAAATCTTCTGTAGATCAGGTGAAAGGGATAAGAACACTCTGAGATTTAACAAGTTTGAGTCCCCAAGGCCCTCCCTTTTGGCATAGGAAAAATAAGCTCATCAGTAACCTAAGGAGGAATTTATGGAGAAACAGCAGACAGTCTTAGGGCAGGGGCAGAGCTTATAAAGTCACTCTTGCAGGCAGGGAAAGGGAAGCACCTTTTGTGATATGACATCAGCTTGTGGCAGGAGTCAGAAGTCTGGTGTGCAACAGTAGCCTCTGCATCCAAACACAGTTCAGTTCAATCTGCAGTTTGATTCTAGTTAGTTTCAGAGCCAGCCTGTGCCATGGGTATATGAGGGAGTATTCCCAATAGTTTCCAGTTTGAGAGGCCT